AAACGAATTTTAAAAAAATTACACAAAATTATAAAATACATTTATTCAAAGATAATTGCATGCTAAAAACTTATTTTAGTAAATATTTATTACTTCAGTTAATAGTCGAAAAATCGTTGAATTATAAGTTAGAACGTTTTTGCATCATTTTATAGGATGCAATTTTGCATTGCAAAATACAAAATGTGTCAAAAAGTTTCTGAGAAAACAAATTTTAAAAATACGTTTTTTTATCCAACCTTTTTTGTTCAAATTTTGTATTTCGCCATGTAAAATTACATTCTTTTAAAATGTGAAAAATTTTGTACCTTATAATTCAGAATCTTTTCGATTACTATTAAATAAAATAATAATATATATTGAGTAAAAATTAGTTTTTGCATGGAATTATCTTTGTATAAACAAACTTTATAATTGTGAGCAAAAATTTTTCAATTTGCATATAAATTTCCTGAGATATAGCGAAATATGCAAAAATTGAAATTAACATTAAAGGGTATAAACTCCAGATTAAACTATGGGGATCATATTTCAGCTTACCCCTATATTTTGGGTTTCAGAAATTCAAATCCGTCGAAATAGTGGCATGTTTAGTCGAAAAAAGTACGATTTTATGTCTGCACTAATTAATAAGCATATATGAGGTCACCTCCTCAAATCTTTAAGATTGAGTCTTAGAAGGTGACGAATCATAGATCAAAAGTATTCAGGGTTTTAATTTGAGTACTGTACATTTTAATTAATACTGAAAAAGAAACCTACAGATTATTTTCAATCATACAACTAAACTTCTACATAGATTTATATAAATCGGTTAATTGTAGTGATTATAAAAAAATACGATTTTGTTTTTTCGATATTCATTAGTATTTTTAGTGATTAAAGATAAAATAAATATTGAAAGCTTATTAGAATAAAAAACGTTTATAGTAAATAAATTAAAAAGCTTTAAATAATTCTGAAAATGTGAGAGAGATATTTTAAACAAATTTAAAATTATCGTAATTTATAAAATAAATTAGTTTCTTTTTCATTTCAAAATAGTTTCTATCATCAGTTGACAAATTATTTCTTTAGGGAAGCATTTCATGATTTTAGGATAAAAAGTACCGGCACCCAGCCAGAGCACCGGTACTTTTCGCTGGAATTTTATCCTAAATTTTAGTATTGTGCAACTCTCCATTCTAAACATTTTAATAAATTTACTGTTATAAAATATGAATGAATGCTAATGAATTAGAACATTACCTTCTTCTTCCTGTGGACTTAGCTGAATAACTTCAGCCAATGCAACGGCCAATAAACCGACAAAAAACAGTCCGGTCCTCATAATTGCAAGTCAAGTGTGGATATGAAGTGATAATGAAGTGATTTGTTTCCTAATCATATTTAATATCATGGGAAATGCCTGCTGCCATTGATTAAATTAATGCAAGTGTATGCCTTGATTCTCACTAATGTTTTCAGTATAACAATCGTCTACTGCATAAGATAATGGATATTTGATGTGTTAAAGACTGTTGACCGCCGATGCTGAAAATACATTGAGAGTATTTAAATAAAAAATTGCCGAACGAATTTTATTACAAATTTAATGTTTTTCCTGCAACACTATGGTCTTGCATCGAATATTTATAACTGAAAAAACTTGCTAAATTTCAGGGTGCGTAGCCAAATTGTTCAACAAAAAATAAGCACCTTTTAAGCACTCAAGAAATATTTTTGAGCACTTTAAAAAAATATCATAATCAGGCATTGTTGGAAAGTTTTTGACAATTGACGGTTTCATCTTGTTTCAACCACCATGTAGAAAAAGGGATAAAAAAATTTGGTCATTGTTTTTGACAATTGTCAAAAAATCGTGAAATTTCGAATCATGTAAAACGAATGGCGTTTTCATACGCTACGGACTGACAATAAGCCGAAATAGATTGGGGTTGAATGAATTGTGAAAACGTTGAATAGAACAATGTGAACTAAGTCTTTTTGCATAATTCGAAACGAAAATCAACACAGTAAAGGAAAAATATCATTTTGAAAAAGGGAAAATTAAGCACTTTTGAAAAACATCCAATGAAAAAAGCACCTTTAAGGGCATTTAAAAAAAGAAAATCAAAAATAAGCACCTTTAAGCACTTTTTAAAAAAGCTACGCACCATGAATTTTTCGTCAAATTCATGAATCATTTATTGTAATAAGTTCAATATTTTCGAAAATATAAATTTTCCAAAATCTGGTCATATATTTGTGCTAAAGCTTAACCTTTCAGGGATGGCAGTTGTTCCAGTTTTTTTTTTTTTTGTCATAAAAGTATTTGGTGTATAAAAGCCATTTTACGTTACGTTTAGAAACGTATTATATTGATTACAAAACATACTTGGTATTACGAGAAATAAATACTTTCCTAAAAAAAAAAAAAAGACTTAGAATACAACTGTTATACCTGCCATCGAATTGGTGTTAATGCGTTTGAAAATGCAGAGATGCCACCTTGCTCCGGACAGCAAATATATATTTTCAAGTGGTAGTTTATCAATTGTGATTCTTGGTTTAATTAATTCAATTTAGTAGATTTTTATCCGCCATTACTAAATAATACGTAGGCTTATATAGTTCACCACATTATAATATTATGTCATGCTATACCTCTTAAAAAACAAGAAAAATTAGGCAAATATTTGCCAAAATTACTAGGTAGTTATTTATCATTTTTTTCAATTATTTTGGCGTGTCCGGAACAGTTGGCATCTCTGGAAAATGTTCAGATCTGCTTGTTCCCCAGATTGAATTTTTTTTAAAAAAAAAAAACCATTGCATTTATAGCTTGCTTAAAATGTAAACTGCCTCCTAGCACTTCTTTTCTGTATGATGTATAATTATTAAAACAATATCAAAGCATGCTATAAATGGAAACAATACCACAGCAAAACCGTTAAATGATTCTAAAGTATCTCAAAATTTAGATTATCCAAAGAATGAAAATTTTAATTTAATAAATTTCGATCGAATCAAAATATTTTTTTTTAAACCAGAAAATGAATTTGTATAACTAAAAGTCAAATAAAACACGTTTTTTTTGTAATTCGTAGTTTAAATCAAATCTCAATTACTCTGCAATTCAGCTTTAACTATCTAGGTTTTTGACTTCTGTAAAAAAATTTAATTAAAATTGATGCAGATTTTAAAATACCTATCTATTCCTCTTTGACGTTTTAAATTGATCAAAATTTCGCGATTTTTAAAGGTTACTGAAAAATAGGAATTAAATCTTCTCTACTGTCCTCTATAATTGAACATTGATGGAAACTGTTTTGCACACCTGCAAAGGTGTTTGTCTTAATAAGGGGGGGGGAATTGTTATTTAATAATTCATATATCAGTTTTCTTGATTTTTGATGGCAGTGTTTATAATTGCAAAGATTCGATTGCTCTCACTTATGTTAGGTATTACTGGATTTATAAAATTGTACACACGAATAAGCAAAGTGACATGTTTTTCTACCCCCCAAAAATAACTGATCATTTTGGTGTATTTTAATGTATTCTTTAAATACTCCCTGCTTGTAAAATAATATTCTTCACTTTTTAAAGCGAATATAGTTTGACAGTTATAATTTTAGTCAAGTATAACAGTATGACAAAAGAATAATCCAATAATATTCAAAATAAGCTTTTAAAATGAATTTAAAATGCAGCATAAAACAAAATTTAAGGCAAACCTGGGAAAACATTCAAGCAGCATAAGCCAGCAAATGGTTTTCAAAAATATTTATAATGGCGTATTGAACTTAAATTGAAATAACGACTTTTACGTGGGGGTATTCTAGTGGAAACTTTTCTGTAAATAACTTCAACAATGCGCGTTTGTGCCCGATGCCTCGTTTGGAAATAGAATAATTTCGTTTTTACTTCAGAAAACAGGTGGAATATAGATGATTTACCCTATACCAATTCATATGATACTTCAGCATATAAAATAAAAATATCAGTTCACTCTCGTACGCTCATTTCAAAATTAGATTTTAATCCTCTTTTCAAAGAGCGTTGAACATGCGTAAATTTTATTATTGGTAGGCAAAACCCCAAAACAAGTTCTCGTTAGCGTTTGTCAACTAAATTTTAAAGTCTACAATTAAAGTGGCTCTGAAGAAAATTTAACAACGTTCTAGTTGCTCGCGTAAACATCCTTTTTGTTCTCCATCGAACCAATCTCAATCAAACTTTCAAACTGTAGCAACTCCACAGGTTTCATAAAAAAAATTAATGTGGCAGTCCTTTATTTAGCTTATGAATAATTTATATTAAGGCACAATATTAAAATTCTATATTAAATATATTATTAGATATTAAAATTCACATTTGTGCTTTCGTTCAAAATAAAAAGCTGGTGAAANAAAAACTTATAAGATTGATGCTTTATTTCAAATGGGAATTAATTTTCTAATCAATAAATGCTATTTCATATCTTTATTTTCGTTATACTTATAACAATTAGTTCAACAATTATTGTATTTTGGTTAATTTAATTTTATTCCACATACGAAATATCCTATTAACCTACATTGCAATTAGATAGGAATGACAGACACTTTAACAAGTAAAAGTAAAAATTTGTAATTTTTGTACATAAAACCTTTATAACTTATAAACTTTCAGTTTTATCGTCCAGTAGCTTGTTTCATTCTATCTAGCGAGGAAAAAACTACATCTGAAACAATACCTCGTACTGTGCATTTATATTTCTCCAGGGATTTTCATATGAAGCTAACAGAGATCTCCAAAAATGACTTCTTACTTAGTCATAATTTTTTTGAAGACTAGTCCTTTTGAATGCCTTTTCAACCCCTAATTTGACTATGTGATTGGCAGAATGATTATAAAATGTCATAAAAAAACAATATTAAAAAGTTGCATTTTTTGTTTTTTTGTCAAATGATAGCAAAAAATATGTTAGTTAAAATGAATTTTTTTTTAAAGTATGAAAATAATGCACTTAAATGACATATAATCCTTTTTAATGTGTTGTCCGTATCAATATAACAAAAAGGTCACACATCTTGTAATAATATCAAAACATTGTTAGCGTAAAAATAACACAAATAAATGTTACTCTTGATTCTACGAGTAAAATTTGACATGAGCGTCATAAATTGTTTATTAATGTACTAAATAATGAAATGCTGTACTTATGCAATCACTATACATTGTCCGATTTCAAGGCTTTTTCTTCGGCTTCAATCCAGGCCAAAATTTGTCTCTTCTCTTCAAGAAATGCTTCTTGTTCTTTCTTTAACTCTTCGTGGTATGCTTCCATTTTACTTGCTATTGTCTTCTGACAGTATTCTTTAGTTAGCCTACGCAAATCCCACTTTTTACAGTACCTATCTACTTTCAAACCCAACTTTGGAGGCGTGAAAGAGAGATCCAATTCCTTCAGAAGCCAATTGAATCTTGCTTCGTCAATTTTACGCAGTCTGTTCAGTTGCCCATTTCGCCTTTGGATCAAAATTAGCAGTATTTTTCTACTGATTCGAGTTTCCTAGAAAAATTTCAGATTTATTTGCTAATAAACATAATAGAGAAGAAAAGAAAATAGAGTTGAACTAGTTTACAATGAGAATGTAACAACAGTAGAAATCAGTTAGTTAAATCAGAGGACTCATTAATAAACCACAGTTACCTGAAATTATCAATGGTAAAAGCTACAGTGCACAAGTTTTATTTAAAAACTGGGTAACCATTATTAATTAACCTTCAGCCAAATTTTGGCAATTGTTCAACGTGCAACAGCTAAAATTGTAAAAAAATTTGATTATGCACTATTTATTAAAATATAAATAAATTCACGCAGGAAAAACTTGCATTCTTTTTTAAGTAAAAGAGCCTTTAGTTCAGAAATAGCAGAACTAAAACTCAAGAATCAAGATTTGGTATCACACTGTAAGTTAACTGTAACACTAATTCATTTTCCCTCTATTAGCGATACTGCAATTTGTAGGGAAATTTTCCAGTATGCATTATGAATCTGAGATAGTGTTAAAATCAGGGTAAACAATAACACTTAGCAAAATTCTCTCTAACAAATTTTATTAGAAAGGTGAATTTTTATGTTAAATAAACAGAGACATGAACCCCCTGGGACATTTCAAATTTATATATAGAGCAGGTGTAACATATAATGGTTGGCGTGAAGGAAAACGGAAAAAGGATTTCCACATTATATGGTCAGATGCAATGAAACACAGAAAATTGTGTAACTTAAGTACATAGTTATTATGAAGCTAAATTGGTAACTTAAGTGCAACATGTAATATAATAATGTTATATTTCTAAATACCACATTGTCTTGGGTGAAGAAGTTTGAAGAGACTGGTAGTCTGTCAATAATTTAAACAAGTCATTGTTGCTGAACTTGCATTCATTAATGAGTTGTGAAGGCAAGAGTCTAATAATTTTAAAAAGCATTTACATGAGTGCATCCATCTTTCCAACACTATTATCAAAAAGTAAACTTTCTAAGGTTGGTAAACATCAGCATGTTTCATTGTATTTATAGACTGCCTATACAACTTCCATTCTCCTGTTTCCTTTGATTATGCATTTGAAAGGTATCAATAGTCTTGACGCAATCCTGTTCACCCTTTTCTTAATTTGTACTTTTTTAAATTCATGTTCGAGCTCTGGGCAATATTAAAACCTATTCAAAAATTATGTACTAGTTACAACTTTTAGAGCAAGATTTTTACCATCCCTGCAAATAAGTGCAACAATAGCTAATTTCAATCAATTCTTATAATAATCCTGGTGGCAGACATTGAGACAAGCAATATCTGATGAATTCAGACTTGTCTGTGACCTTAACAGAAAAGACTATTTTCATGTAAAAAAAAAAAAAAATTGTAAGATGTATTGATGATCAAATGATGTAGACTATTTTAATGTAAAAATAGTCTAATGAAAAGACTATTTTTATGTAAAAAAAAAAAAATTGTAAGATGTATTGATGATCAAATGATGTATTAGTGTAATACAATATTTGCTATCATGTGTAAAATAAATTACATATATGAAGTAAAATAACAATTTGTACATCAAAACATTTATGTAATATATAAAATTTAAAAAAATAATATTTTTAAAATTAAAAATCTGGAGTTTTAGGAGTTTAGTTTATTATTTCTTTAAACTTATTTGTAGTTTGTTTTACAGTTTAAGATTTTAAAATTGTTTAAACTGTTTCACTAACCACGAATCATTACCCCCCACCTTTCAAGAAAATCTTTATTGTTCTTCATTTTAAGTTAATAAAACAGGGTAATAAATTTAAGGAATTTTTAAAGACTTTTCAATATTTTAAAGTCATTCAAATCATGTCATTATATAAAAATTAAAGTAAAGAAATAAAATAATACAGATACAGTTAAATACATAATTACAGATACAGTTCAGATAATCAACTGAAATTTTGCAATTTTTGTTTTACAATGTAAAATTGAAATGTTTCTTCATTACTTAAGCAATAAAGTAGGAAAAACTTATGAAAAACATTTAAATTTTTTTTATTAAAGTAATTTAAGTCTTTTGAATGGCAAAATAAAGACTTTTAAAGGCAAAAAAAAAAAAAATTTACAATTAGAAACTTTTCAGAGACTTTTCTTAATGTAAAATTCAAAGAAGGGGGAAACTTGTAAAATTAGTTACATTGAGTTGCAAGATGTGCAAAATAATATTTAACTTTCAACATTTTATTTATTTATTACTTTAATTTATTAACTTATTATAACAAATATTATTCTATTAATTAACATATATTTTGTTATTTGCTGAGAAGAAACAAATTTAAAATTGTTTTTTAAAAAATGTGTAGGCGCAACTGCACAAATGCGAATATGTAAATGATGTGACATCTTGTTACTAGGAATCGCATATAAAACAACCCAAAACAGGAGTTATTCTTGTTGGGTTTTTTTCTCGTTTGTTGAAAATTTCTTTTAAAAAATGGTTTTTAAAATAAAGTGGCTAAAAAACCAACAGCATGCTTAATAAGTGCTTGTAAAATATTTAAAAACATACAGATTTAAAAATATAGATTTAAAAAATGCAGAAAAATTACCTTTCTATAAAATTCTGCATGATGTTCATAAAGAGATCTGATTTTAATAGTCTTTAAGGCAACTGAAATTTTAAATTTATAAATTCAGAATTAAACATGTTATATTTTACAGCATTTAAATGTAAGGCACTATAAAAAGAAACAGAAACATCAATATACTTTTAACTTCAAGTGAATCAAAATCAAACGGATGGCCCTGGATTCTCTTCAATAAATCTCTTTTCACTCTTTCTTTTCTCTCCCCCTCTATTTTAAAAAATAAGTAATGCAAATAGTTTCAACATTTAAAGACAATTTATTTCAAACACAGAATGTTACTTTTTTAATAAGTATGAAATTTCTTATTTATACAGTAGACTCTCAAGTAACTGATATGATAGAGAAATGTTGGTTTTAGATAAGCAAATATTTCGCAAAATTCAATTTATGCAAATCTTAAAATAAATATTGAAAAGACTATAGAAAACGTAAAATTAATATACAATGTGACATTACATAAAAGAAATAGAATTAATGTAAATTTCAATGCTGTATTTAAATATATAAATCTATATAAAACAATAAAAATTAACGGAAATTTAAATTAACTGAAGATCGTAGAACGAATTTCAAATACAGTGGAAATGTTAGTGAAAAGAAATATTGTTCAATACATTCCTGCAACTTTCACCTTCTTTTGTTGGGGCTTTTGGTTATGATCCAAAACATAATAGATAAGTCAACCACAGTTCATAGAAAGCCAGCTATAGTTTAATCATTTTATAAATTTTTCTCATAGTTAATAATTTTTTCTTCTATCTCATCAAATATTTAAATGATTTTAAGATAAGATAACCAAAATTAATGAACATTAAAATAACAGGGATTATGCATGCATTTATTCTGCATGAAATAAAATTGAGGCTTACAACCAAAAATGTATTTAAAAGACAATAGAAATGTAATATTAATAAAAGAAAGCTATTAGAAAACAGTAGCAATTAAAATATAAAATAGAGAGAGGAATTCCATGATGAACTTTTATTTACTTCTGGTTCAGCAGCATTAATTCCATAATTGTTTCTTTCTCATTTGTTTGTTTCTTTTTTTTTTTAAAACTATTCAGATTTTATGAAAAAAAAACCTGCATTATCTTTTAAAGCATAAAAGTTTTTTCAGGTTTAAACTTTTATTGAGGAATTAATTTAAACCATAATTAGTATAAATTTTTCAATAAAAAATAAAATGAACCAGAATACAAAACAAATGTATCAGAAGAAAACATAGATCTCAACATTTTAAAATATAGGATGAAATTTTTTTATTTATTTATCAGCGAAAAATACAGGGTGGTTAAAATTAAACGCACAGTACTCAGAGGCTCATAGCTCCGGTTCTACTGGATGGATCGGAATGAAATTTAAAAAATACGTTATGTAGAACATGCATTTGAGGTTCTTGCAATAAAAAAAAGTTGAAATTTTCGACAAAAATTTCAAAGTTCGACGACATTTTCGGCAAAAATTTCAACCTTTTTTATTGCAAAAACCTTGAGCGCATGTTCTACATAACCTATATTTTAAATTTCATTTGAATTCATCCAATAGAGCCGGAGCTATAAGCCTCTGAGTGTTTAATTTTAACCACCCCGTATTTAATCAACTGATTAAGGTGAAATCTGTAAGCATACCCTCACCCCCTAGTCACAAGCCAAGTTGTAGTAGGTCAAAAGTTTTTTCTTAGTCCTACTTTTTAACCCAGTCCTAGTATACTTTTTGTTGAGGTAAACACACATAAAAGAAAAAAAATTTCTCTACACACATCTTTAATTATTTCTCACATTATTATTACTTTTTTGGTAAAAACTTAAACATTAGAACAAAGACATTTTCTTATGAAGCTAAATTTGAAAATCAGTTTAAATTTTTTAAAGACAAAATTCAAACTTTCTTTCAAAAAAAAAAAAAAAAATCACCAAATCTATTTCATTGCATGATTGCCTAACAATGTTGATTGCTGTTTTATTTGCAATTAATCGATTTGATATTTTGTCTTAAACATAAGTAATACTTTTTTTCCAGTTTTTTTTTTTTTTTTTAAATAGAAGATAAACAGAAAATGCAAATATATTCAATGTAAACTACAGCTTAAAGAAAAGAGAAAAGCTGCATATAAAATATAAAAGTTTATCATAGATTACCTTTGATGCTGTGGCAATGGAAAATGTTCGCCTCACAGTTTCATTTGCTCTGAAATAAAAAAGACAATTTTTTTTCATAATGCTTTTTTAAATCACCTTAAAAAGATATTTACATTATTAAAGAGAAAATTTTTTCTTTAAACTTTATCTGTTCATAAAATTAATACTACATATCAAAACAAACATTATACTGATATCAGACTATTGACACAATTAAAATCAATAATTGGCACCTATGCCAAAAACAAGATTGTTCCATGCCATAGTAAATAGATGGTTGGTTCAATAGATGGCTAAAGAAAATTCATGATGTGAAAATAACAGTTTTAAGATTAACAGAAAATTTGTAGAGCATTGTGAGGAGACAGTTGAATAAGGTGGATATCTCAACCAAGAAAAAAATAATTTAGTTAAAGTCATAGAGTCTTAGTTTCATGGTAATGAAATTAAACATTTATATGTAAATGCCAAAATGAATTCAAAATTCATCGAAACTAAAAAAGAGCATGTTTTCCACTAGATAATGGAGAATATACTAATCAAACCATAGATGCAAAATTTTTGTACTCATTCCAATTAATGTTCATACTACTGCATTATTAAAGCCTTCTTGTTTAGCCAAGGAGGTTTGCAGTCATTATACACCTTCCTCTTCGACATTTACCTACCCAGAACATTAAATCTGAAATTTCCAAAGAGTGAAAGAATCCCCTGTCACTGCTGATATGCAGGCAAAGAGACAGGCTCTACGCTTGTTTTCAACTTTAATGGAGTCTCACGATGGCATTTTTAAGATTGGCAAGTTGACACACAAAGAGTCTCCTCGTTCTTTGAGGGTAGGAAGATCTTTGCAGTTTGCTCTAAATGCCAAGCTCAGCAGGCCTCTGCTGAACACAATCTGGACTGCTTGGGTCTTTCCGGGGAAGACTTACACACTTCTCCCCTTCTGGTTCTTGATTTTCTGAGAGTTAACGGTCTAATGGACCTTGTCTGACTTCGTCAGACCATTAGAAGATAAAGCCACAACAACATTCTTGCAACAGCCTTTAGTGAGTCAAGGGTAGAGAAGGTTAAGACTTTGCAATTTTGTTATCTACAGTATGGTCGCAATGTAGTCGGTATTACCCACTAACCACCTTACTTTCTAGACAAGTTGGTACAAATCAATCTGGTCGGATAGGCTTCTAGCCTACACAAGGAATCAATTTACAAATCTTACGAACGACAGCTCTATGCTTGAACCACTGGGCCATTCTGACCTGCCATAGCATTGTACAGGATGCAATAAAAAAGAATCCAGGAAAATAATTTTTAAAATAACTTTACTAAAATAAAATAAATTTACAAAATATAACAAATAATAATCAGAGTGGATTTTTATTAAGAAACAAATTTAATTGGT